TTTGGTTTGGGAACGTTTTTGTCTTTGTTTCAAATTTCACTTTGAAGACATCACAAAATTTATAATAATGGTCAAAAATGGCAATAATAATGGCGAACAAGGCCATTTTCTTAAAAAGCATGCGGGCGGGGATGAGAAACTAATATACAGCAAATAGTGGCCTAAAGACAACGTGGTATATTAGCAATCGTATGAATTTAATACAATCGTATGAATTTAATGGATTTTATGTTTGGGAAGACTGTTCTGCTGAAGCCAGTTTGAACGGTTGCACTTGTTGCGGCTTGAAATGCAGCCGTTGTATCAAGACGTGAAAATCTGTGATTTGGCGTTGTAAACAAAGCGAGGTCAATGTGTAATATATTGCAATTATTGAATTCTTTATAATTATTTATTGTATTTGTGGCCGTTGCTGTCCTAAATCGTATAAAGGTGTCTATTTAAAAATCGGAGAACCATGCAAGGTAAGCATGGTTAAAAATTTTTCGAGTCATGCATGCGGACATATGCATGCGCATGCATGGTTTACGCTACTCAAACGTTTCTCTCATATACGCAATAGTGTGACAGGACCTTAACCGAGATCAGCATGTAATTGCAGTTCTTAAAAAACATGAAAATATTAAACATGTATATTTGTTTCATTTTATAGTGGCAAAATAAATCTGCACTATGTCTATGATGAGAAAAAAGTGCCCTTCAAAGCATTCCTATAAATTGGCACACATATATCCTTTCCCGTACTTTTCTTATACATTTTTGTTTATAATACCATGCATGTAGTATTTAATGATACCCATAAACGTAAAATTTCAAGCATATATAATTGCTGGCATATTTATAACTTACTCTCTATCCAAAAAACAGCCATATTTGAAACAATAAACAGTTTTGTATGCTTTTAACGCGAAAAATGTAAGTAAATACAAAAAGAAATTATAGCTTATAATTAGAGGAATTAGCGAAAATTGACTATATTCATGACGCGCTTGTCAGGCGAAAAACACACTGCCCAAAGATTTTATTATTTATTCTAGTAGATGTGTCATAATACTCAGTAGCTGCAATAGATTGGATACCTGATACCGTTGCACTTTTGAGAAAAAATAATTTACCGCCAGCATACTAACACGAATATTTAATCCGCTGTCTGAAAGACGTTTTTAAAAATACACAATATTTTGTTTGCTTCAAGTGATCAGGATAATTTTTAGTTTAGGTTTATGCCTAGGCAGGAAATAATAAAATATGTAAGTTTCAAGAAGTTAGAATAAAAGCGCGAGACGAACTGTGAGATATAAAAAAGCTCAAATATCACTTGCGTAATTAACGTTTTAACTTGTTTTCGAACGCGTCCGAAAATAATTGCGAAAAAATTTTAAAACTGACTACAATTTCAAAGTCAACGTTTTTTGTTCATTTTATGAATGACTTCTTCCACACAGAAAGTTTGAAGGAAATCTGTAATCTTAAGAAATTCGAGTGGTCGGTTTTTACACGGACTGCCTCTTAAATGGGGATAAAATGCTGAAATGGGGGTAAAACGCTGAAATGGGGGTAAAACGCTGAGATGGGAATAAAACGCTGAAATTGGGATAAAACGCTGAAATGGGGATAAAACGCTGAAATGGAGATACAACGCCGAAATGGGCAATTCCGGATTTTCCCTAGAGGTCAAGACTCGTGGGGAGATAATTGAATCTGCCGTCCAATTAAATTAATAAACATGCACGAAAATAATATCATAATTGTTGTAAAAGATAAAATAGGCTGAGAAAGTAATTATAGATAAGGGTAATATGATACATGTAAAGCGCGCCATTTGATCATATCCATAACCGTATCATAAGTATTTTGCACTTCTTTACACATATGCCAGAAATATTTTAGAACTTGTAATAATTCTAACACGTCTGATCGAAAACGACCAGTCGACTACCTTAACTGATAAATTTTGGAAAATGAAATCATTCTACTGTATATTAAGAATCTAGCTGGAATTTTTAACTGAGAGTGTGCGAACACATGTAATTTGCCTATAAAACTGAATAAATATAAGAAAGAAGTTACCGGTAAAATGACAACCACAAATTTTCGAAGAACGTCTGCTGCACTATTTTTAAAGTCGTTTGAATTAAATTTGACTACTATACCTCGCGGTAAATTTTGACAAATTATAAACCTGCGTTTAATAAACTGAATACTGCAGTGTAGCCTTATAACAGACCTACGTTTCACCCGCCCTAAAATTCGTCGACGGAAAGGGCGAACGTTTCGCCCTTCGTCGACACGCGAATTTTAGGGCGGGTGAAACGTAGGTCTGTTATAAGGCTAACTGCAGTGAGACAATATAATGCATATTTATTATATAATATATACGCAGGGCCTCTTCTAAGAATGTGTAACTTGGGGGGGGGGGGAACATATTTAGCAGAGGGCCTCGAGAAGTTCCTGTCGGCAAGTCACACTGCAGCTACCAGCATAAATATACATGGTTTAACTAATAAGTATACGTTATAGGGCAGCATATCAGACCGTTGCTAGGATTCTGAGACAACCGAGTCGACCACCAAAGGTGCGAGCCTCTGGGGGGTCTGGGGGAATGCCCCCTCCCCAGAAAATTTTGAATTCTTGAAGCTCAGCTATTTCCAGCATTTTGAAGAGATTTTCGACAATAAATTAACCTTATAATCAGTGACACAATTACTGTAATTTCACAGTCTCCCAAATGTAATGAATGGTGTGATGATGCGGTAATGAAAATGTGCGTGGTATAGTATTATCATTCACCACACTTCAAATTCTACAGTATTGTATTACATGTATTGGGGTACTTGAAATCAACGCATTCGTCTTCTCAGTGTCATTGAAGAGCAAGATACGGTGGTCTCTTTGGAGTATCTTTACTTGGAAAAACTAAACATTGTCTTAAAATGCCATTCAGTCATGCCTTGTTCCACGAGCAAATGATTTCAGTCATGGTTTAGGTTTCTGACGATGTTTAAATTTAAGTCCCCATGCAAATTCTGCCCTACCGAGTCAACGGACTCGGTTAACCCATAGCTAGTTACGGGCCTGCAGATGATGGTCAAATTCAGAAATGTTAACAACTTAACATCATTTTCTCACTTTGATACATAATTGCTGGTTGACCACCTACTGCAGGTAGTTCTTAGGGATCTCACTGGGGGGACAAAATTTCCGACTGGAGGGGCCAGTAAGAGGGCTGGGGGGACATGTCCTCCCCCCAGTCATATAGTTAAAAGAGGCCCTGAATATACGGTGTTTTATTGGCGAATCCGCCATTATGCATGATAATCACACATGTGTGATTATCGTGTTTTGACTCACCAATCAAAACTGAAATAAACACAGTATATAAAATAAACACAAAAACAGGCATGAATGCTTGGAATCGATGGAATTTATCCGTCTCGTGTTGAGAAGATATCTCTCTCGTTAGGCTGCGCTCACTCGTTCGATATCTTTCTCAACACTTGAAATAAATTTAATTTATTTTTTTGCGGTCCGTATCCATGCTTTAATTTTAGCCAATCAAATTGCTTCGTTTGCGGTCCGGATTTTCACGATACGGACCGCTAAACCGGACCGCTACGGATTTTAAACTTAAAGTAAACAAAAAATTTGTACTTTCTACTGTTTGAAATTAAGAAGCAAAAATATGTATAGCGATGACGAAAGCCATAGGAAAACAACGAAATTTCGAATGAAGACGAGTTTTTTAACTCCGAAAAACGATGTAGAAAACAACGGTGCCACAAAAAGTTGAGTTCGCGCCTCACTGAAAAGTTGAGTTCGAAGTTATATGGAGAGAATTGTAGATTACATTATTAATAAAAGATAAACTGTCAGATAAAATTCGTTCTTCGAAAATTTGTGGTTGTCATTTTACCGGGAACTTCTTTTTTATATTTATTCAGTTTTATAGGCAAATTCCATGTGTTCGCAATGGTCTACCAAACAACGAATTCGATTAAATTTGCCCATTTCAGTGTTGTATCCCCATTTCAGCGTTTTACCCCCATTTCAGCGTTTTATCCCCATTTCAACGTTTTATCCCCATTTCAGCGTTTTATCCCCATTTCAGCGTTTTATCATTTCAGCGTTTTATCCCCATTTCAGCGTTTTATCCCCATTTCAGTTTCCGCTTTCAGTTTCCGTTTCCGCGATTCAGTTTCAGCGTTGTTACGAGGCTTTATTTAGGCAGTAAATGGTTACAATCAATCTTTAATAACTATGTTCGTCTTCTTGTAGTGGTTTTACAAAGTTAACTTCAGCGTTGAGCAGGTTTTCACCGTTCGTGATATGTTCGTTAATTTCTTCGTCGTTCGTTTGTTTCGTTTGAGTTTCTGCAGCTTTTCATCAGTTAAGTTTTATTCAGCATACGTCCACTGTCGACTTTCACTGTGCACGCTCTTTTATACTAACGGTTGAGGGAATCCTTGTACACGTGATCTAACAAGTGGTGTGATCTATATCCAGCGAATCAACGTTGAGTTTTAATAGTGTGGGATGGCGCTGCTAGCTCGTTCCAGCTCTCACATTCTGTTTATTTAAGGCGTTGTCACACTTGTCGAGTCGGTTCGCTGTTAAATCGATCAATGCCAAAACAGGCTTACAACTCAAAATACTTATGCAAGTCTTATAGTAAAAACTTCGAACTATACCTATGTGAACATAACTTTACCTACAAGACTAAATTTACTCGTAATTTTATTGAACTAAGATTCTGATGACGTAACATTTTAATTGCATGACCGAGTGTTATCTAGCTTGGGATGACTCATTATTACGCCTGAGTCTGTCCACGTGAAAGGTCAATGTTCATGAGACCTTATGGCAGCTGCTCTGTTTAAACAGATCTGCCCACAAGATAAACTGTAGGAATCAGGTCAATTAAACATGACATCTTCATATGCACAATGACAGCTAGTTCAACAAACTGTCACAGTCTAATGGAAGGAAATAATCAATATTTACTTTATTTTGACATGTGCCCAAATATCCATTATCCTTCTCATTAGGCTTTTAGTAATATTTACTTGCACGAGCATTTCAGCTGCTCTCAAGCAAACATCTTTGTGTTATTTTATTTTTAACCTAAAATTTTATGTATAAGTAATAATGTTTCGTAACAGCGTTTTATCCCTACCCTCATCCCGGCAATGTATTTTGTCCATATAAACACTAGGCGAGTTTCCCGTCTAGGCGGGATAAAAACGTCTCGTCAGGGTTTTTTTTAAGAAAAATTTAGAACTGCACATTTTATCTTTGCGGCATACCCAATGGCAATGGTTTCAACAAGGTCAATAATGTCGGATCTTGGGTAACAATACAACTGGCAGCTTAAATTTGTAAACTTGTTATTATAAATCATTGAAGGAAAGTTATTAAAATATAATAAACAAAATAAATGCCAGTTATTGACAAATGCAGTAATTTAATTAGTTTTTGTTAATAATGGTAGATAAAGTACATAAAACTATATAATAGTCAGTTCACTCAACTTAAGACAAGTATTTATAACCCAATAAATCAAGAATGCGAGGCGCCGAAGAATCAAGAATGAAGAAATAATTTCGCATAAATATCCTCAATGATTGAGATGTCAACAAATAAATATATTTATACTATAATTCTATAAAAATTCACCAGCTACCTTATCCGATCAAGCAGGAAATATAGCGTTATTTCAGTGAACACCACTGTTTCAAATTCCATTCGTTTTACGCCGATACACATATTCTACGTTCGCTTTATTAAATATTTCGGATTTGTAATCCGGATTTGTATTTCGGATTTGTATTAATTTTCTTGAGCAACTTTTCACCGCCATGTTTGTTTTAGAGGGAATCAATGGGATATTACAAGTATAAATAGGATATATGTGTACAGCTGGTTGTGATTAGATTGGATTAGACAGGATTCCCGTGGTAAGCTGCTGACACGTAAATACAAAGGCGCAGAATTGTTCGCGCCTTTTTAACTTTTTCAACATTGAAAAAACATCCGACGCGAATATAAACTTAACATTTAATAATAATGAATAATGAGGATCAAGGACCAAGTGAAACTGCAAAGACATCAGAGAAACACACTAAAGAGCCAAAAGAGGATAATCTGAAACACTTACACAAGAATGGTCGCCACTATGTGCGTTGTGAGACATGCTTTTCGAACCCCAATGTCGTCAAGATTTTCAGCAGGAAAGCTAAACTTCCAGCGATTGCTCAAGAACCGGGGACTATATAGATCGGAAGAGCGTCGTTTCCGACCATCTGAACAGCGAAATTCATCGCGAAGCAAAAAAGACGAAGAGATTGTTGTCTTTGAAAGGACCGCAAAAGCTTCATATGACGTCATTGACACCAATTGGAAGGGCATTATCGATCGCAGATGCACAATTGGCTGCGAAAGTTGCTAGCTTATTTTTTCACGTTTACCATGGTGCTAAGAGACTTACTTTGTCTGCCAATTCTTTCCCTTCACGTGTGGTTGTAAGCCGAATAGCAAATGCGTTTTCTTTTGATGATTGGAGTATAAACGACATGCCTAATGATCTCCAATACCTTTCACCAAACGCACACAGCGAATTCCTCAAATGCATTGTAAAGACAGATAGAAATTCACTTGCTTCAAAGATGTCAAACTCGTTGGCCATCTCCTTAAGATGTGACGGATCGGTTGATAGAACGCAGATAGATAAGATATATTTAATGGCTAAGGCCATATCTAGAGACGGAAAAGAAAACAATATCTTTCTCGGCGCGGGAGAGCCAAAAGAAAGAGGAGCAGTTGGGGTTCACAAGGCTATACTTTCGGCATGTTCAGCAACCCTTGGCGAAAATACCGAAGGTGAAGAAGAAGCTTTGTTGACTCAAAGCAAGAAAGTGTTTCAACGTGCTTCTTCTTTTGTTACTGATGGTGCATCAGTAAATACTGGAGAAAAAAATGGTCTTTGGGTTTTGATTGATCGTGATTTCAACCTTCCTTTGGGCGATGAAGTACCAACACCGATGATAAAAATTTGGTGCGCTGCTCATCGTTCGCAGGTGGCCTGGAAATCTGTCACCAATTCAATTCAGGAAGTAAGCCATTTAATTTAGCAGCTTTCAAGCATATCCACATTTTTCCATGCATCTGGCATCCGGACACGTGAACTTATTGATGCTGCAAATGCTGAGGGTTGCTGCGTGTTATCATTACCTCGTGTCTTCGAAGTTCGTTGGACAGAATTCACATCGTCGTTAATAGAAGTGGTCTTGAGATCTTGGCGTGCTCTTGTTACCTATTTCAAAAAAAGTAATGAGAAAGAAGCTGCAGGTTTCTTGTCTTTTTTAACCAAAAAAGACAATCTTGACCTGCTGACCTTCATTGCAGATTTGCTTTTTGTATTTTCACGATACCAGCAACAACTACAATCGGACTCTGCAACACTAATTGACATGGACAGATACACATCCAATGTGAAGGCAAAGG